AAAATATTTACACCTTAAAAAAAAGGTAATAATAAATAAATAAGCTATAATAAGGCATCAAAAAAAAATTTTTCCTCATCATTATCGTGAGGAACTTTTATTGAAGAAAATATCGACAAAAAGCAACTATGATAAAACTAGTGCAACATTAAAGAAGACTAGTTGCCCAGTTGTAAGTTAACTAGGAGCATCTCCGTCGCCTGGTGGCACATTTCTCTCAATTTCTCCAGTTTTTCAAAGTATAAGTTCTTCTAATGATAGTTTACGAGCTCCCATTATTTCAAGCGGCTATGGAACGTGAACTGTGCTCGTTATCTCGTTATTCCGACGCTTTTAATTACAAATGCACCACTAAAGACGTTAATTTACAACTATAACGGCTATGCAATTGTGGACCTTATTATATTCCGGGTTAAATTATAAAATAAATCGACCAAGTTACTTGTGCACATCCAATATTTCTTTAATTTTATGACTTGACCTTTATGTAGTCAGATCCTAGAAGATCGATATATATATATATATATACGAATTTATATGTGCTTTTCAAAACCTGGAACGCATATAAATCCGAAACTCTAAAGCAACGATTTTTATAAATTATATGAACAAAGAATTCTATTAAAACTCGATTCATATCAAAACTTCATCAAATATGAAATCGATTGAGAAACAAATCGGTGGAACCTTACGTTCCGAAAGTTTACGGAAACTTTACAATATCGCAGCATTGTTTCATTGTTTCACAAAGCAATGTGGAGCGCGCTTCGAAAGTATTCAATGCGATGCAATCATTTATATGAGTACACATAGTTCGCTTCGTTGGTTCAGTAAATACTAAGTATCTAGAACCAGCAATTTGTATGCTGGAAAACTTGGGCTCGTTAATAAACTTTCACCTTTTGTATTAAATCGAAACTGTTTGAAATACAGTTCTTAGTACAATATTTTTTTAAGGAGTAGTTAGTCGACGTAGATTGTAGATCATAGCTTTTTAAAGGTAAATAATTGTCATAATAGCCAAGTACGTTGGAGATCACAGTTTAAAAAAGTCTAGGTTTACCTGACATTTCTGCTGCCTAGTCTCTGTAAAACGTGCAATCCTAAAGGATTGACGAATCCTATCCGATACCTAATCCGATATCTAATACGAATCCTAAAGGATCGTCATTCGTCAACACATTCGTTTAATGAAGCGTCGCGTCGTGTGCACGTCATTAAACGAATGACAAATGCTTGCATTTCACTTGTTGAAAAACGTCGAGGAAGCAGCAGTTATTATTGTAGTCCACCTATCGTCACTTCAAAGTTGCATGCAATCGTCAAATGACGCGCCGTGGACAGTTTTTTTTTTTAAGGGGGGAAAATCATCGAATGACTGCTCCCGCCTGGGTGAGGCGGGAGGGAGTGTCAGACTCTTACTGACTAGACTGCGTCGTGGACAGTAGGCCTTAATCGTTTGTATTATATTTGTGGTGTCACTACACAGTTTTCAGGATTAAAGGAACAAGATCTGATATTACCAATCTTCTGATTCCAGATAACATTGAAGCCGAGTAGTGGCGATGGACTGGTGCTGTACAACTCGGAGCGCGCAGATGGTGACGGAGACTTCTTTTCACTACACCTAAGAGACTACTACGTCGAGTTCGCCTTCGATCTAGGAGCTGGAATCGCGCTCGTGAGGTAAACGGAATTTATAGAGTAGTTGTGAACATAAACATAATTGAAGGGTTCACCTCAATTATGTAATGAGAAGAGATGGTCATGATCACGACACAGCGATGAATAAAATAACGTTTGATGGTAAGGAAGAGAAGCACTATACAATTGTGTAAGGAAATGGTATGAAAGACGAACAAATGAGTGGAGAGAGACGAAAGCTAGTAGAGTAAATAGAAAAGGATACATGATAATTATACCCACCGATGAAGAAGAAATTAAAATTCTCATCATAGTCGATGACTTGAAAGATTAAAACTAAACAGTCAACGTATCTAGTGTCCGTAGATTTTAATAACAATTAGGACACACGTTATCGTTGTAGAACCTTCTTCTATGTGTTTCTTACTGCTCATTCCCAACTTCCAGGTCAGCGTACCCAGTGGAACCGAACAAATGGCACTCGGTGTCGGTATCCCGAGCAGGTCGTCGCGCGACGCTGCGGGTGCGCGGCGGCGGGGCGGCGCGGTCCGTGACGTCACGCGGCACGCGGCGCCGCCTGGCGCTGCGCACGCCGCTACTGCTGGGCGGCGCGCCGCACCCACTGCCGGCACGACTCGCACTCGACACATCATTCAATGGATGCGTCTCACAGGTACTACAACTTCCTATCAAATCATCATCATCATCACTCTGTTTCCGTCCACTGCTGGACATTGAGCCTCTCCAATGGCATACCACTGAGTTGTCAAATCAACACCCTCAACAACAAATCAACACCCTCAACAACAAATCAACAACAATGTCCCGTCAATTCTGCCAAAAACCATTTCGGCCAAGAGCAATTTGAAATTCAACCGTTTGAAGTTAGCCTACATACTTACTTACTCGTGACTCGTGTACATCAATGTAACCACTAAATCTATAATCCTGTTCTAATGCAATATTTGCTCGGACTACAGCTGATAATCAACGACGAGGAATTGGCAGTAGTATCGGCGGCATTGGGTGGGCTCAACGTCGACAACTGCGACGATGCCGCTAACAACTGCACGTGAGTCATACTGTCTACTTTATTTTCTTAGGAATGAGAACTTTGCCAATGTTGAGCCTGACCTTGACCTACCTAGCTAAAATCTTTACCTGAAACGAGTACCTACGAATTTTTCATTTCATTTATCGAAAACTTTCCATTGACAATATCATGGTTGAAGACCTTTCAATAGACAAGGTAAAAGGTACTTCTCATTTCTTTCTTAGTCTTACAACCAGCCTGAAGCCTCCACTGCTTTTCATCTTGAAATATCTCCAAATTATTTCAGGAACAAAAACCTTTGCAAGGAAGTTCTAGACCCAGTCCCTGTGTACCCGCACAACACATCAGAGACGGAACCACGTCACTCCATAGTCGCGAAGAAAGGTTTTAAACAGAAAATTCACAAGAGCAGTCACAAGAAACACTCACACATGGACAAATACAAGAAGAAGAAATATTTCATCAGTAAAAAGCATCAGTACTTGTTAGAAGATTTGGAGAGGAACAATGAGGTTGCCACTGACTTGCCGTACGATGGACAGACGTATATGCAAGTGAAGTACTTGAGTGACAACGAAGTCAACTGGGGTGATATGAACACGTACCCTAGCTTCACAGGCACTGACAGCTTCATACACATCGATGATGAAGATACTATGAAAAGGTAGGTGAGGTGGTAGGTTAAGTGTTTCTTGGTACTATTTGACGAGGTAATTTGACTAGTTTCAAACAACGCCGGGGCTCATCATCTTAAACTGTCAAACACCAAGCGGTCACCGGTGACCGCAACCTATTGTTCATTAATTGTGTCTATAATGACGGTACTCAACGAGTTAAATAGCATTGTGCCATAATCCAGACGGCACGGTTGGTGCAGTGACCAACTCTTTGTGTTATCTACAAATTGTTGTTTCGGGTCTGGGTGTCATTGTGTATGTGAACTAGTATGTATGTAAACGCACCCACGACACAGAGGAAAATCCTAGTGTAGGACAATGTTTAAAAAAAAATCGACACAATGAGAGCCATACAGCCAACTGACTTATGTTAAAAGTTCTATTACTGCCACGTGTTCTGGTTCAAAACTACTTATTGTTTAGGTAAATGGCTTAGGCTTAATCACTCGGCACATTTGCCCTGTGAAAAACAAAACTGTATTGTATGCTTACATAATACTTCACACGATCAAATTTCTGAAATACTGTTTCATATGTTCCAGGCTAGTGAGCTATTCGCTGGACATAAACATCCGATTCCGATCAGTGTCTTCACATGGACTGTTGGTTTGGAGCGGAGGCGCGCGCTCCCCACCAGACTTCTTATCCTTAGCTATCGAGAACTCCGTTCTTGTGTTCAGGTGGGTACTTCTTACATAGTTTCTAGATAAATTCCATGGGCGGCGCTGATCGCTTACCATCAGGTGATCCGTCTGCTCGTTTGCCTCCTATTCCATAAAAAAAACAAATACTTACGTGAATATCTTAGGTGGCCTTCAAAATATAGCCATTAACATTTTATAAGCTACTACAAAACTAAAAAACTAAGAGCACAATTTAGAAGAGAAGAGCTCATTTTTCACTCGTTGAGCAACATATTACACACTTGAGGCTTTCTGTGTCACGTATAATAATGTACTCTAGTATGTCTCAGGCTTTTCTAATGTGTCTTCCTGACATTTACAATGTGTGCCTATAATGTATGAATGTGTCAGGTACGACCTCGGCAGCGGGGAGGTGGTGATCATTGCGAACCACACGAAGGTGGACGACGGACTGTGGCACAGAGCGCGGGCCACTAGGTAACTACTACTTATTCTATCCTAGTACCTAATAATAGAAACAAGAGTAAAAACAATTAAAACAATGTTGTAATTTTGTAACGCCGAATTCTTAAAATAGTTGACACATAACCATGTGTGGAACTTATTCCAAATAGCTTCTTGTTAGTTATTTTTTTCTGTGCTATCAAAGCACTAAATCTTTCAACAAGAATCTTTCTAAGCATTCAATTTAAATACTGTCATTGGTTTACCATTTTGAAGCAATGTTTTATGTCGTCATATTGATATTGGTTCTTCATATGCAGCAGGAACCTGTCTAAAGAATCTGGACGCACGGCAGCGTGTCAGGACAAATCAAAACAAAGTGTTCCCCATTTATGCCGAAAATAAATCTATTGAAACCTTAGACCGTGTCAAGTAATCAAATCTTAGGCATAAATTATGTGGATGAATTATCCTAAGTTCAAGTTGTATGAAGATATAACATATGTTGTCATGCAATATTTTATGTTGTTAGAAATATACATTTGAGTACTAACTATAAAATTTGGTTTTTCTCTCACAGAAATAGACAAGCGGGCGTGTTAGAAGTGGACGGGCTGGGCTCGGTCGGCAAGGTGTCGCCCGGGAAACTCAAACAGCTCAACACTGAGAATGGACTGTATATAGGTAAGTCTTATAGGGCTGTACTTAATCAGCAGACCCTTAAGTATTGAGGAAGTAACTTGAAACTGAGGTATTACCCCTGAAAAAAAATACAAAATGATATTGCATCTTGTATCTTATTGCTATAGTTAGTTTCGCAGGCACTCTCATTATCAGTCATTATTTCGACATACTATTAAAAAATGGCTGAGACGTGTATGTATATATTCAAATTTAAAGGGATTGTGATATATTATCTTAAGATAATTAAAAAAAAACGAATTCATTCAATACTCGGACAACGGCAGTGACAACTTTATATTGTATCATCAGCTGCACATAATTTGACGTTAAGTTCGTATCGTTAACTTAGCTATTTGTGTTTGGCAGGCGGGCTCCCGTCCATCGAGCTGAACACGCAGGGCCGGTACGTGCGGGGGCTGGAGGGCTGCGTGTCGCAGATCTCTCTGAGCGGAGACTTCGACATCCCGCTGTCGCTGTCCAAGCTGCCGCACACCATCACCAACAACGTCGGCCGCTGCGCGCCATAAAACATGCACTATTCATTTAAATGAACCCACCGAGTTCATTTAAGTGAATAAAAACCACATTTGTTACTATCTTCCAAGTTCATTTAACGTTCAAAAAGTTCATTTAAACTAGTTAAACGTTAAATGAAACGGTGTTACATTTAGTGTTAGGTGTGTCTCATAGATTTGTCTTCATTTTTGTCAGGAGTTGCTTTCGATTCTCGATTACGTAACTATTTACGACCAAATAACTCCGTTACTACATATCAATGTAAATTAAATGTCGGAGGCAATAAACTAAAACAATACGAACTTTTTCAACATTTTTGATATGAAACTCTGATGTTTACACCAATGGTTTTAATTTTAGTTTTAAAATGAATACTCTAGTCAATTTAGAATAAGTAAACTGCGGGTTTCTTAATCTGTCACCTTTTATATTGATTTTGTATTACTCTTATTTAATTTAATCATTGAGTATACTATAATTTTAATTTATTTTCCATGTACGATGGAATAACTTTTCAAAGTGCTTTACTATCTAGTAGATATATAAAAAACTATTTGTAATGTTAAATTAAATAAAATTCTAGTCGTACGAGTGGTTTGCACGCAGTATCATTTTGTATGGAATGATTTTGTTTCATAGCTAATCACAATTTGTTACGATGTGGGTGTATTTTATAAAACCGCGAGGACTTGGCTGGGATTGTTTCGAGTTTCCGTATTTTCACTGAACATCAACAGCGAAAGGGAGTTGTTTTTGATTAGAATCTCCTAATAAGATCCCACACATAATACGACAGGTTCCTTTCCTATCAATTACATGCCTCAAATTGTATCGCTCGAAATCATATCCCAGCTGTGTCCACGCATAAATAGTTCAATAAGTATACATACATAGCGTTTGTATATCGAAAACATTTTCATAATGAACGTGGTTTTAGAACATTTGTAAGTAGTACAATAGAGTTTGATGATATTGTAATATTAATTGAGCTTTTATACTTAAGCCCGGGAACTGTATTATTTCGCTGCGAACAGAACATGGCTTCATTTCTACGCAAATTCCAAAAAAAATATTAGTTGTGAATGAAATTACAATTTATAACGTTTTATTCTGTTCATTCAACTTTCATGAACCGAAAACTTTTACATTTAATGTGGTTAAATGTACCATTTAATGTAATTAAATGTAAATTGATTGTAATGTTCCGGTGTTTTGCATTGAAGCTGTTTGTTCCCGGCGTGTGTTGGCTAGCTTTGTTTCGCTACTTGATTTGCTTCGGATCTAGCACCGTTAGTCATAATATAGTCGATACATATATTTATATCTATCGGTAGTGTTACGCGCTTTGTATGTATAAACGATAGATATCGATGTTTGTCTCTTGTTCAATGGTTGATGATTCATAGTTTAATGATTTTAGATAAATTTAAATAAGTTTTGAGAATCCTCCAAGATTGCTTTTTTTTCATCCAGTCGATGAGTATTTAATTATTATTGAAATGAAGTTTATTTCTTTTGTGACTCATGGTTTAATTTTAATTTTATGTGAAAATCTTGCAAATCTGTTTATTATTTAAATACTGTTGTGTATAGATGTACCTACATCTCTGCCATTGGACAATAAACAAACAAGTAATTCGATACAAACCCTAAATGCCCTTTACTGGGATTTCATTTACACCAATAATTTTCGTCAATTATAGTATTTCACAGGGTGTGGAAATTATTTACATAAATATCTACATATCTTTATTGTGGTCTCTCATTTTTTGACTGAACATTTTCATTTGCGATGATATTGCTAGTTCATTTAATTTGACCGTGTTAATCGAGTTAAATGTAACTCATTTTAAATGAACTTTTGGATAATATATACTCGTATCAGAACCAACAAATTGTTAAATTATTTAATAAAAATAAATAACGAAATAAAAAATAAATTTTATATCGAAACAATATGATAATGTGCAATAATATTTAATTAATTAATTAATGATAATTACGTGTATGATATTCTGTTGGATTGATCCCTGCGCTTGTCGCTATTCATCTAAATTAGCTACCACCGGCTTTTGATAAAGACATTTTTGTAAATGAAACATATTTCAGAGCATAATGACCCGGTTGATTTAGCTAGGCACCTCATTGAACCGACCTAAAATGCACTCTATAATAATACAGACTTAATACCCAAAACTAGAAACTAAAAATACACTCTATAAAACTTGTCATTTTTGTCCCAAACTGTAAAATACAACAGGCGATTTGAACCAAATGTGTTCCTCCCTATATAATGACGTCACTTAACAACGAGGTGCAGAGTTATGCCAATCGTGTGTCGCGACTGTGTTTAAAGTATCGATACATACGTAGTTACTACTTGTGACATAGCTTGACTAGCATTAGTTTTGTATGTGAGACCTGTCCGATGTAATATACGCCGTTATTTGTACAAAATTATATCAATAAAAATATAATGATATGCGTTTTGTTATTCCTCGATGTCTGTTACGAGTTTGATACCTGAAACGGCCGCTAGGAGCGCTATCGCTGTACTAAATTGTTAATGTTACATTATGTTATTCGCCAGATCATAATTCCATGTAATGTTGTTCCAGACTTGGTCCTTTTTGCTTCCACATTTAGGTGGGCATCTCTGAAAACTAATTTTGACCCAAGAATCTAATCTGAGACATCTTCCGTGATTAGCGATTATCTTGCTTACGACAACCACGAAATTCCATAGAACAGTCTAGAATAGTGCCCGGTATTGTCAAACAGCGATTTACCCCCTATTAGGTACGGTGACTAACAAGTCAACTTGATTGTGTTGACGTAAAGTCGAAAATCTAATTTATTTATTTATTTATTTATTTATTTATAAACTAAGTACATACTACTATTATAACAGGAACTAATACCTAATGCAATAGTGTATGCCAATATTAATAGAATTAAATTACAAAGTCTAATTTTACAATTTGGTACTACAACATTTATAACTATGGTAACAAACATATTCCTTAAGCTAAGTCACAGATGGGTACAGGTACAGTAACAGGCTCTTCTGAATTCGTTCAGTGTACAATAAAATAAGTCAATGTATTCCGACATCACATTGAGCGTCCGCAGCGCCCGCGTCAGGGGCGCGCGCTGTAGGAGGTTGGTGCGTGCGCGTGGTATCGCCAGCAGCGCTGGCTTGCGCCGGCGCGCCGCGTATGCATCCGGTACACATAACTGTATCAGCTCCAAAACCCTCGGGTTATATATTTTGCCGCGAAGTACTTTAAATAAGTAAGTAGCGACAGCTACTTCCCTCCTCACCTCAATTTTAAAATATCCCACCATGCCCAATACAAAAAGAGTCGGATACAAAAGCGGGTAACCCGGATAAACACCATACATTTTTAAGTACAAAAATCTAACAAATTTGTTTTGTATACGCTCTATCATCAGTTTGTACTTGACTTCATGCGGTGACCAGACAACGGCATTACACTCCAAACGACTTTTTACAAGGGCTTCATACAGTGCTTTCAATGCATTAAAGTTAGTAAATTGGTTACCTAAACGTAATACCATTCCTAAATTTCGGTAAGCTTTTTTGCATATATTCACAATATGAGTCCTAAAATTCAAATCAGTAGTAAAGCGTACACCCAAGTCCCTGACCTCAAAGACCCGCTGCAGTGGCCTTCCGGCCAAGCAGTATTGGTGATGACTTGGGTTATGAGCTCGGCTAAACGATAACACGGAACATTTGGCAGCGTTGAAAAATAATCTGTTTTCTATACTCCATTCCTCAATTTTAGATATATCCTGTTGTAGAATGTAATGATCCTCTGTTTGTTTTATTTTTAAAATTAATTTTAGGTCGTCAGCAAATAATAACGGTGTGGAATTATTAACTACGCTCGGCAAATCATTAATGGTTAAAATGAAAAGTAGGGGCCCTAAATTACTTCCCTGGCTTACTCCTGACCTAGTAAAGTAGGGCTCAGAAAGGCTTCCGCCACAGTCAACGTACTGACATCGGTCTCTCAAATAATTTGAGAAGAATGTCAGTGTGTGCGGTGTGCAGCCTACACCGGCCAGCTTTGACAGAAGGATATCATTATCTACGGTATCGAAGGCTTTCCGAAAATCAAAGTAGGCTACGTCCACCTGCTGTCCAGCATCCACCGCAGGTACAACGTGTGTCATAAGATCCAGCAAGTTCCCCGTCGTTCCCCGCCCAGGACGAAAGCCATGTTGTGCGTCCGACAGCAAAGGACCCACCTGTGAATACAGGCTGCTGTGAATGGCCGACTCAAATACTTTAGCTGGAGTGCACAATACTGCCACAGGTCTATAGTCACAAGCTTCAGTCCCACCACTGCCTTTCGGCACAGGCACTACCCGAGTGAGTTTCCAACGATCGGGAAACGTTGCTGTTCGAACAAACACGTTGTATAAATGCAACAACGGGTCCACCAATACTGCACTGCAATCTCTAAAAATAAAGGCCGGAATACCATCAGGTCCAGCGGAACGCTTAGGGGGCAAGCGCGCGAGCGCGGTCCGCACGTCGGCGCGGCGCAGCAGCGCGAGGTGAGCCCGCGCCGCTCCCGCCGCACGGCTCGCGCCCGCCGCCGCCGCGCTCAGTACGGGGGGCTCCGGGTTATATACTGACTGGAAGTAGCGAGCAAATTCATTAGCACACTCATAGTCCGCTAGCACCCGCCCATCTTTAATTAATTTCCTATTATTTGTATTCCCCCTCCTGGATCTAACGTACCCCCAAAACGCTCTCGGCTCTCTAACCAAATGCTGTTGAACGTGGTCGCGGTACATGTCATGAGCACGTGCGATCTCAGCCTTGACTCTTGCCCTATATCTTGCAAACTCCATGTAGTCATGCGGTAATTTACTAGATTTGTACTTTTTATGCAATTTGTATTTAATTTGTATGTCTTTAATTAGGTCAGCTGTGTACCATACCGGGTATTTATACCTATTATTGTTCATTAGACTATTCTTTTTTATAGGAACACACATATCAAACACGCCATATAACTTCTCATAAAACAAATTTATAACTAATTCCTGGTCCTGTAAACAATACATCTCACTCCAGTCTATTTTAGCTAATAAGTCGTACATTGTAATAAAGTCAGCTTTATTGAAGTTCCATAATAATTCACGATTTATCGCGGATTGCGCACGCTGACTATTGTGTAGTAAAGAAGTGTGTGTAGGAGACGAACGATTGTGTGCGTGAGGCGCAGAAAGAGCAGAGGGCGCAGGAGGGGCGCGGGACGGCGGCGGCGTTGGCGGCGGCGACGGCGGCAACCGCGCAGACCAAGCGCGCGCGCCTATGTCGACGCTGACGGCCAGCGGCGGATGATATTCGTCCACCGGCTGCAAACCCTCGTCCGCTGCGCCCACTGACACGGACCCGCTCGCGCTCAGTACTAAGTCTAACTGTCTATCGTGACTATTAGGTACCGCGTTACACTGAACGAATTCACAGAATGCCATAAAATATTCGTAATAATTAGAAATGTTATTGTTACACGAGTACAAGTTAAAATCTCCTAGTATAAGTAAATTATTTTTATATTTTACACATAACTTTTCCAATATGCGAAACAGCAATATATATTCATTATCGTCAGTATTCGGCGGTATATAAACAGTACAACAAGCGAATAAAAAACGACTTTTTAAGTACACAGCAGCACAAATAAGTTCAAAACTTTGATTGTCAATATTTACATCGATTGGCACTGGCACTCGCCTTAACTCATACCTCGGTGTGGCCACTAAGAATACGCCTCCTTGTTTACGCCCATCAGCTCGGTCGCAGCGCAGTATTTGATATCCAGGGAGCACAAATTCTGCGTCGTGAATACCTTCATTGAGGCCAGATTCTGTGATCGAAAATAAATCAAAACCTGCTGATTCTAACAAATATATAAATTGTGTAGTCTTCGTCCTCAATCCTCTCACATTCTGATATAAAATATTAATATTCATGTTGAAATGTTTCCTGGAGTGTTTATTGAGTTGTGTTGTCGGTAGCTTTGGTGGAGGGTCGAAACCAAACCCACTCGCAGTATTCGACATTTACTGGCCATACTTCTGGTTCAATGAATAAATTTGACACACGCAAGTAGGTTGATCTGGTGGCCACTGTACAGGGAACCTCTATCTAAATGCAAAAAAGTGGGTCTAATGCAACAGCACTTAATAAAATGTGGACCTATTCCTAAGATATTATGTTACGGAAAACTATAGTAACTATCTTCATAGGTACCAGCAGAAAGGAATAAATCATTATCTACTATCAAAAGATTAAGTTAGCGGCCGTTGATTTGTTTGCAATACGTTTAGCACTTACGCAAGAACACTAATACCTTTTTATTGTACCTTGGTCTACGTCTACCAAAACCTGTTAGGTTAATGCCCTCTGGAACGCCGATGATGAGCCTTTCGGTACAATTTACAACGGTACACTGATCACTGACTGCCATATTGAGTGAGTCGTTGCTGACACGACTATCAAATAAACGACTAAGTTAATCACATTAAAATGCTGATCTGTTGTGGATAAAATATTGTCACGATGGTGCATTATAATCTGCAATAGATCAACCACATACCCAAAAGGGGTTGATCTCAACTGACTTTCCTGTCATTGGTTTGCAAATGCAATAAATTCATTCCTATGGGAAAATGCATTAGGTGAGTGCTATGCAAGAGTATGCAGTGCCTAAGTCCCTCAAGTTTGTAACGAGGTATCCCCCTGTCCTATTTACTGTGTGTGTTCAAAAACTATAATTATTATTATTAGTATTAGGCCCAAGATCCATTGAATCCCTTAGTACGTATGATTTCAAAGTAGTTCAGAACGAGACAATTAATTTTTTTTTTTTAGGATAGATCACTCAACATCGTTCAACACACATTCAGTCAACATCATTAGCGTACTATGAGTACGCTAACGATGTTGACTACTTAATTAACCGGACAAATCTAAATTAATTTGTGTCAAATTAAAGCAGACAACCTAATGTTTTGCCGGTAACGAAACCATACTTGCTTTTAAATCTGCCAACGCCATCTATCGAGCTATGGGACAACACAATGAGTAGTCCGAGTCCATCTTTTAAAAAGATTATTTCTACACTGAACAGTAATTAAAGTCAAAACATTTTATTTCAATTAATCCTTGATTAGGCAATTTTGAAACGTCAAATTGAATTGTTAGTGAAGCTAGTAGGTTTCTAACTAAACTTTTTCATGGGAACGAATTAACTCACCGACAACGGCTATATTACCGACTTCTTTAGTACTGAATTTATAATTAATTACTGTCCTTTAATAAAATGAACCTTGTAATCATTGTAATTATTACTTATTTCAATCTTTGTCCTCGTGAATTAATTAAGTACTGGTGCTAAACGATATTATAACATTTGGGTTTACACAGTCACCGGATACCGGAATCGTAGTTAATATTTATAATTTGAATAAAATATAAATCAAAATGAGTTTGGCAGTGGTTAAGCTGACTCATTTTGGGTTTATTTAAAAACCCGCAACCAGTTTAGCTACTTAAACTGTCAAACACCAAGCGGTCACCGGTGACCGCAACCTATTGTTCTATAATTGTGTCTATATTGACGGTACTCGACGAGTTAAATGAGTTAATAGTACGAGTATGTTAGTTAAATTACTTTTAGGTACAACTGACATGATTAGGCGATATAAGGCAAGATTTCTTTCCAAAAATCAACCATTGAAAAAAATACAGTGCACTTTAATCGAACCCACTTTTCATAGCAGTTTCAAAAAAAGCATATTGTAAAACCCAAATTAATTATGTGCTACAAGAACGTCAGTGCTCAAGAGTGGTCCTCCCAATATAAACTCTTGCGTTAAAGCAGTAATTCCTAAAATACTTCCAATAATTAAACCTGAAACTTCTCAGCCCCTCTTACCCTTTCTCAGCTATCCATGACAACTATCGCTCGACCACCCGAGGCTGTACTGTTGCGAGAGAGCGGATGGGGTCCACAAAGTTCCCATATCACCTCGTCATTGGAAAAACCATCTTAGATTTTATAGGAGTCGTTTACTTATGTATTCCGCCTCTAAGTTGGTAAACTTACACAGGTGTGCGGCCCGCGTCTCGCGCCGACAGCTCCATTCATTCGCCAGTTGAGAAAGGCCGTCCAAGTGAAACGTACGCGACGCCGCCGCGGCTCCGACACTCGATACAATAAACTTTAAACGTATCAAACGAAAACTAACCTGCGATTAATTAAGTAATTAAAAAACACAGTGATAACTTTTAGTACGATCTAGTCGAATTTACGGCTTGTAATAAGCATCGGATATTTTTTGTATTTTACCGTTAAGTTTGTCAAAAACAGACTGCAGTGTCTCGTGTGAAATCGTGAGGTTTTTGTGTGAAATTATTTATTTGGTTCACGATTAGTGTTTAGAAACTATCCTGTATTGTTCTACTGGAGGCGCATTCCTTGGACTAACCTCGACGGACCGGTTATTTGTGAGTATCGAAAGTAAAAGTAAATCCACGCACGACCGCGAGCACAGAATGTAAATACAGTATACACACGGTTTTGAAACGTCCGCGTCGGTTCGTGTTCGTGATTAGTAACTGACATTTTATTTAGTAAACTTTGTGTAATTTGAACGAATATTAACACATTGTGGCAATAACTGCATATATACACAGAAGAAAATAAAATGTTAATCTATAGTTAAACAATAAATAAATCAATTTATAAATCACCATTAACAACCTGCCTAATTAAAGTTATTGTTGTAGGAAGGTAGTTATCAACATTACGGGTCACCATGATCTCGTTTAGATATTACGATAATAAACCAATAATAATTTAATTGCTATAAGACCGTGACCGACATATTTATTGCATAATGATTATAAATGATTCCAACCAAAATGGTAAACAGGTACATATTTCAAAACATCACGATTACCTGGGTAGGTAATCGCCACGGGCAAGCCACTCATCACATTCATCGGTTAAACTCAATTTAATAATAGAATTATGATTATAATAATTAAATAGTTCCCCCTGTATTGGTGGGGAGCACTCCCGTGCCCTCAGATACAGTTGAGTCCGTAGTTACTTTACCTAACTATATTACTTTAAGAATGAACTGGACAACTTAATATAATAATATGGGACTTAGTTATTTTTTATTTTATTTTAAAAGACTTCATGCACACACTAATGTACAAGGTGGGCTCAATGCCTAGGGCATTCTCCTCCAGCCAGACCTTTGGGTGATGCAGAGAAAAAAACAATGGTCGATGCAAGAAGCAAGCGTATGAAATACTCAACAGAAATACATAAAAAACGGATAGTATAGACTTACATAAAATTAATCCCTATATAAACTTACATGTATGTGACATAATGTAGTTATGTACTAGCTAACGTCTAAAAATAATAACCGATTTTGATAGTCTACTGAATTTCAGTCAAAAATCACTAATCAATTTTAGATTAACATTTCAGCCGTAACTAGGTATCACTTCTGCCAACCCTCTCTAGAAATAAACGGCATGACGTTACTACGGTTGTACAACATAATACTATCATAGTAACAAAACGTTTGTCGTAAGCTTGCAACCGCCATAAAGGTTGGTTCACACATTGCTCCACGCTACATGTCGGCCGTGACCCGTACGTGTGTAGGCGCATTACAACAAAATATTTATTGTTTCCTCTTGTCTTGCAAGCTCTACATATAGCAGGTTAATTAATTTAAGTCTTTGTTACATAAATCTAATTAATATTAAATCGTGAAGCTTTTAACACTTCCTTAAGGGAATTATCTCGTAAGTCGATTGGTCGTGACGCAGTTAATATTTCGCTTTTGAAAAAAAATTCTCAGTGGTGTAGGTACTTACGTAATGGAATAATGCAGAGTCGGGTTTATTTTAAGGGGGGAAGAAAATCATCGAATGACTTCTCCCGCCTGGGTGAGGCGGTAAGAGTCTGGAGGGAGTGACTAAAAATCACCCCGTCCCTACTCCTGCCCTTCGAGCCGGAGCCCCGGCAACCCGTTAAGTAATCCGCGGCAAGCTTACAGAGGGGTGCGTCATCGCCCGCCCGCGTCTCGCGGTTTAATCGAAATTAAATTAAATTAAATTTAGGTCTCTAGATTAATCTCGTTTATGACTATAGGCTCCTCCTAATACATGATACACATAATAATTGTCCTAAAATAATAATTATTTCTAATACCAGTCGAACTTAGCCAATCACGTACAAGTTCGACTTTATTCAAATTACAAACATGATGTTTCAGTTCACAACTACCCTCTAATTATTTCAATGCTATCATCCGTCTCTACTATTATCACCTTCCAAGTTTGTCTTGAAATGTCTAGTTAAACTACCATCATATGTGTTCAACTTATTTCATTTGTATCCAAATTGGTGTGTCACAACACGGAATTTATTTTATAGGGAAACTAAATAGGAAATACCAAAAAGAAAGATTTGAAGCCTAAAATTTAAGAGATAAACATTAGTATCGTTAAGGCTTTTTAGTGTGGTGGTACTTTAAAAGCTTTCCATGCGTGGTTGGGATTATGGCAAACTTTCCTTTACGTGAAAGACCACAACACAGTAATGGACGTCTTCCAACTGATAATCTATATAAATTCCGAATTTCCGTTCGTTAGCCTCGCTCAAGAATGGCTGAACCGATTTTGCTAATTTTGGTCTTGAAATGTTCGTGAGAGTCCAGGGAAGGTTCAAAAGGAGATATTTTTTACGCGTCACGAAGTTTGCCGAGTCAGTTAGTAAGTGAACATAGACTACATAATGTAACTATCTACATAATATAGCAGCAAAGCAATCTATTACGACAACCAGGTCATACAATGACAAATTAGACCTATTGTCACCCAATCAAAGTCAAAGTCGGTGCAAAAAGTGCATTTTCTGAGGGTTTGACCAAGCGTCGCGTCGCGTCGCGTGAAGGCCGCCTTTGTCACGCTGCTTGAAGCTAAAACAAATGTCAATGACACAGATCTGAGAGAACAATACAACACTGCGTTTATCATCTAATAGTTACCTTTAGACGGACTATACATCATAAACATTGAGTAAAAACTTCGTTTAAATATGCAAATTATAATAACTGACCTTTGCGTGTAGTTTCGCTTACATAATTGTACAATTTATAGGTTTCGCCAATCAATTTGATAGGTATATTTGACTGTCTGTTATCGATACAAATACAAAAACTTACCAGAATGTGTCAATAATTTAGGAGAAAATATGAACAAAAGTTTTTCTCGCGAGCTTGTGGATAGAAAAACCTTTCTATTCTTTCCATATCTTCAAATCAAATCATTATGGAGAACTAGAATTACAATAAAAAGTTAAAGTAAGGAAGATTTAAATGCAAATGAACGGAAAATTTTGAAAATATTTTGGCGCAAGGAAGGTAACTTAGTGCATTCCTTCAAAAATGTGTGAAGGCCGAGAAGCCGGCAGGTAAAGGTAAGTACAATAAGGAGTTCCGGTCAAGTACCTTCCTATTTAACGACTATTGCTTACAATTTGAATAGTATCCAATGTGCCTCTCAAACCTTAACGATTCCTGATTGCTGGAAAACTTAAAGAAGATTAACTAGTTAGTTAGGTACTAATTGATTTGTTGGTGGTACCCAGGCCAAGTCAAGAGCCAAGTGGAATGAAGTTTTTCTTAAACTATATGTTCTTAGTACCTAAAAGAATGTAGACCGGTATTAAGTTTGAGAGATTCTCATTCAGATTTTAAATGATCACAGTCAAGATTAGGATCACTTACGAATAGGATAGGATAGATATATCTAACGAAACGCCAATTATCTTGTCCCAAAATCATATAGGTAGTAATACAGGCCATCCTTTCGCACCATACACGGCATAGAACCGATTATTTCGCAAGTCTGTAGGACATCATATCGCAACCAACAACCATAACCGTCCTATAATGTAGGATTGTTTGTACATACTACTCAGTGGCGTAACTACGGGGTGGCAAGTCGACTAAATGCCACGGGCTCCCAGCCGAAAGGGGCCTCCGTCCAGAGTCGTTCCTGAACTTTTCGATTTTAGGTCTTTGCCATCTGATGTATTTGCCACGGGCCTCGAATAGTATAGTTACGCCATTGACTGACACTACCATAGTACCCTGACAAGTAATGTTATTCTTTCTCAACTGTTAGACCGAATCGCTGATACAGAGAGATGATTGAAATCCTCGAAAAGTAGTGGCCCACTTAGATTAACTATTGATTACTCTAGACCTGGTACTGGTAGGTACCTGCTAATATTAATTTATTAGTTTTATGTTTTTACGTTGAAAAATAAAGGACATAATATAAAATCTAAGTAACTCATTCAGTACCTAATCTATACAGAGAAATAAGATTAGAGTGTCTATTTGTTATATTAAAATAACCGCTTTTTAATTTTACTACATGCATATGAAACATACGATACACATACTGAAATAACATGTTTTTTTTAATTTAGCCTGCCAGTCTGTTTGAACTGGGTAATCTCTGGAATGGCTTTGAAGATCTATTTTGAAAGGACTTTTATTGGCATGTGATTTATAAGGAGTGAAATAGGCTACTTTAAACTGACTTCAAAAAAAGAAGGAAGTACTATGTTCGGATGATTTTTTTTTATTTCGGAAATTTTAAACAAAAGAGAATATATTATGTTACAATTCACATTGTGAGCGGACAAAGTCGCGGGCAACAGCTAGTTGACATTAAAGTGACTCAATATAATGAATTATGTAAATGCACAGTGTGGCTAATTACTCACAACCAAATAAAAGAAACGTGAACCGTTCATAATGTTTCTGGATTACGTTTTCCCGTTCTTCGGTTCACAAGTACTGCACTGACTCAACACACATTACAATTCGCAGACTTTAATGTGTCATGAAGCTATTGTTCGTCATTTGTTTCATTATGGCGCGTTATCAGTTCCAGTTGACAACTTCTTCAGCTTATTTTAAACTTTATTTTAATACATTAAAGTTGAGAATCTTTATTGCATTTTACTGTTTGGGGTTGCTTGACGTGCTGGTGTACTGCCAGAAACATGATGATTGTGTTGTATTTAACCCGCTCCCCCTTGTTAATACTTTCTGCTAAGTCATAGTACCAACAAACGTATTAAAAATAAATATAATTTTTAGTATGAAACTCATAATAAATTATTAATTTTAAAGCACTAGTGCATTGCGCTGCAGTAAATTCTGATTGGAATTGAATTAAGAAAATTACTCTCTTCTGAGACTCGATACTGTGGGTCATGGGTACACATAAACATATAACATCACGCCTGTTATCCCCGAAAGGGTAGGCAGAGGTGCACATTATGGCACTTAATGCTACTGTACAATGTAATACCTACTTTACACTATTTATATTATGAGTCCCATGTAATAGGGGGTGAACCTATTGCCATATACCGGGCACATTTCCAGACTCCGTGC